TTTATTTGTGGCTTTGCTAACACTACTTGGTGCATGATAATCAATTTTCTGCTAACAGACATAGTTGTATACCACCGTGTTCGGCTTACTGTGAGACCATTTACTTAATCTTTGATCCTTTACTTTATGCGACCTTCTGCGTTTAGTTTGTGGTAAACTGGGTGACCCGGGGAGTTACTGAAACCTAGTGAGAGTGATGGCTGTTATCCGATCAAAGCTTATGTAGAGACTGTCACCCTTGAATAGTCAGTTATTGGACATTGGTTTTTCATTTTATCTCACAAACAACTTTATGTTAACTCGACCAGTGTACATGTCGCATGTTCGCACCATTTTGCGGGTTTTCTCTTTCACTATTGATTCTGTTTTTACTCCTAGAAATTCCGTTGACAATCCTTAAAATATAAAAAATAATCGTTCAGCTGTATCACCCATAAGGTGTCTAGGTGCCATACCACCAGAAGGAAGCACAAGGGCTGGGATACGGCCAGGTCTCCCTAAGCCTCGATAGGGGAAGTCAAGAAGCAGAAGTCGGGTTCGAGTCACGGACCTTTCAGTCAGCAAATTCGCACTCTATCCACTTGAGCCACCTCGCCCCACATCGTTTTGGTATAAAATTGACTTGTTCGATCGCAGCAGCAAAGCCTGTATACACTGAAGTCCGTAACCCCTTATTGGATTTTGAATCAATCCAGGTCTCCGCTGCAAATTATTCGTCAGCATTCGCTATTCCTTTCGAAGGTCCGGTAGCCTGCAAGCTAATAAACCCTCAGTTTTAGTTTTGTCATGAATATTCTATTGTAGGGCTGTTCCACTTAGAAGACCATACACGGATTACGTTTATCTACCTTAATAGTTTTAGTTTTGATGTGTCCAAAGGAAAATATGTTCATTTGCAAGCGACCGACGTTGATACTAGGATAAAGATGCTGTCGAAAATGACCGTTCAGGTCATCACTCCTGTAACTGACGGCGCACACTTTTCATAGAACCGAGCTTGAATGTAATTCGGGTGTGCTGGCCTGTATCTTTTATGGAAAACCTGAAGTAGGGCGTGGGGCCTCCTTGTGTTTATTCCGTCATTGTGATGATGGTGAATCACATTTATTGCGATCAATAAGGTTTCATTAAATGGCTTGACAATTTCGTTTCGGGAACACAATTTTAGACGATAGTAAATGTCACTTCAGGTCGGTATTTATTCAGATAAAATACAATTTATAAAATATTGAGAGGGAAAAATGCAACCGGACGTTCCGATTGGACCAGGAAGTCAAGGATCATGTTCGAATTGCCAGCTTGTATCAGAATTCTGTTTGATTTCGTCTACAATGAGTACGAGATGATCCGGATATAACTGTGTTTAACCCACAAGCCATGGGATTCTCCACAAGGTTCTTCGCATAGCCCCTTCTATTGAGCTCCCTCACTGTAGTTTGATTAGTCAACATTATGACTAATCAGGTCGTGCCTCATCCGTACCAAGTTCTCCGTCCGACTGACGGTTTTCTGCTTTCAGATAGATGGGCTAAACTTAGTTGCTTTCGAGGTTATTGTGGACAGTATCAAACTACTTCGAACATTACTGTAGGTCAATAATCCAATTATTCATTTGTTGAAAGTTTCCTGACTGCGACAACTTGGTCTTTATAACAAGGCATTCCTATACAGGTGGAGCCTGGTGGTGGGTAGACCATTGTGTTAGTGTTTCATTTTTCTTCCCGGTGGTCTCGCGAAAGACGATATTTCCATCCGGGTTGGGAAGGTCAGAGCAGCTTTTGTGAACCTGTGGTGTAGGCGTGACAACAGCTTATCCGTCAAGGGTCGAGTTTACAATGCTGCGGTGCGCTCCATCTTATTATACGGATCAGAGACCTGGCCGCTGTGCGCCGAGGACGTCAAAAGACTTTCAGTGTTTGACCATCAATGTCTTCGGAACATTGCTCGAGTCTGGTGGGAACACAGGATAAGCATTGCTGAATTACGCCGAATGGTATTCGGAAGAAATAACTCACTCTCGATAGATGAACTGATCACACTACATAGGTGGCGCTGGCTTGTCCACGTACTGTGTATGCCAGTCGACCGAATTCCTCGGGGGGCTCTTTTCGCACAACCACATGAAGGGTGGAAGAGAGCCAGAGGCGGTCAAACAATGGCTTGGCAGCGAAGTATAAAAGCCATTACCAGTAATGAAGCCTGACACATTCAAATCTGTGCCACACAGTCAATGACGGGGCGCTCAAGAGTGGTAGCTACTAAAAGGTGGATATTACGGATCATTCCATGGGTAGCGCGGTAGTCCCGGCCGCCAAAATCTGCACGGTAGCAGGTTGTTCTTCAAGGGTTTAAACATAAACTTCCTGGTACCGTTTGAAAGCGATTAAGGTAAATTATTTGCAGAAGGACCTACGTATCCTAATCTGGCTTTGTCGGGTCACGTCTGGTTGGTCGCATGGCAGCCGAACCGATTTGATAAGTTACGAGTCATCCATAGAGTTGCGTAAGACGGGCATCGAACGTATACCGTGGTCAGGTCCCAGATCTCTCCGAAGTTGTTTCCTGTAGTCCAGCCGCTTGATTGCACCACGAGTGCATCCGAATACGAAGTTCGTATGGTGTCGCGTAACTCCTGGATGTGTACTAATCTGATAACATTAACTTTCGAGCGTAAGGCCATATTGGATAAAGCTGAACCGAAATTACTAGTTCAAGCCGTTTCAGCTCTTCAAAGAATGCGTCTGATGTAGGTCACGTCGCTCTGTCATGTGACTACGTTCACTTCGTTTCGCAGGCTTCCTTACAACTGACTTATTTTATTCACTGACAGGAGGAATTTGGTGAGATTGGCGTGCGATTGACTGTAGCGAAATGTTTTGGATCAATATATCGAGCTACAGACGGTGTACAACCTGACAATACGTAGAATTATTGAAATATTTTTCGCAAAAAATAAAGTTTTTTCAAAAATATAAGGATGACACCTAGCCATCATCATGCCAGCCGAATAGAGCAACTGCCAACCATATCGTCTAAATGTTGCCGTCGGTAGCCATCTATAGAACTATTTTATATCGGAGATGACCTACTTCTTGCTTGCGGTTTCAGTTGTAATGTTTATTCAGTAGTGTATATTTGCTCTTTGTAGAAAACGGAGGAATACTCTAGAATTAGGGAACACCTAGGGATAAACCTATCCGTCCGCCTTGGTTTTTGGGATGGTTCTTTGTTTTCGGGATGATTCCCAATACTACCACATATCTACAAAAGTAAGGATTTTTGCTATTACTGGAAAACAGTAATCAGTAAAGACTCAAAAGCAATGGCGACACAATCTTCTGACCAGCTCTTGGCTAAGTAACTATGCTACTCAACTCAACAAGACTGACAACTAGCGGAGCGGTTGCGTACTTGATCCGTAGAGTATTGCGCTTTTGACAGACGTTTACCGGTTACTACGCTACCGTAGCAGACAACCAAGTAAGTAAATGAGTTGAACACACTGAGCAGCGTGAAAAACGATAGGAGGGGTGGCGGTCGCAAAACGTCTCCAGTGGACCATGTTGCTTGGATTAAAGGGCGGACGCAAAACGTCTATAGCGTGAACTAGAATTGGACAGGATAATTTGAAATATTATCGGGCAAAGAAAAGAGCCCGTTACCATGTCGTATTCCAGGCATAACGAATTGCGGAACTGGATCTCAATCAGTTTATAACTCAGGCGAAAGGAGAACCCTGTTTGGTGAATTCTCATGAGGAATCCGAAGTAATCAACGTGCTTAGCCGAATTCACTGACAAAACAGCTCATCTGAGCTGATCGGGCATCTAGCTTCCTAGTTTCCACAAGAATTAACAGTTTCGGCAAAAGCGCATCGTACTAAAAGTGGTCCGTCCACCAGTTCAGGCGATTATCGGATATTTCTGTTGCATCATACTTTGCTCTCTTGCTGTACTATAACAGAACATGAGGTTGATGAAGACTTGGGGACTGCTCCTACCTGAAAAGTCCCAAGAAGGGTGAAATCGTTCGTGTTCTGTCGGAGGGTTTTCAGTAACCTTATGAGTAGTGTATTACGTCTATACAGTTTATTGCGATATATTGATTATGGTGCCAACTGAAACAGGAGGCGGCCTGGTGCAGCACATTCAGTTGCTTATAGACACCATAAACGAGAAATGCAGGTGGGTTCCAGGTGAATCTCCTGTGTGCATCAATTTGGCATGCAAATGAGTGTATTTCGTTAAAGTAGAGAGTTCTTTTAGAAAGGTGACGACAGGAATTTACGAGAACCGTCAAGAGGCGGTCATTATGGGGGGTGGTATAAGTGACAAAAGTGTTGTCTCCCGGTTTTTAATGCTGTGAAGCCACATGCTTATTTCAAAGGCCTAATGAAAAAGAGTGGTCACGTTTCAGGAGGGTTTTACCGTATACGAAAACGAAACTTTTGAAGCAACCACTTTAGACAGGTCTTGGGCACTCCATAATACTATCTTGGTGACAATGAATGAACAGGTAATGGTCTTCTAGGCCCAACACCACGTCTAGATAGATTTTATTTCAAGTCTCCAATAACCTACATTGTTCGTTATTCACGTTCAAATCACTTGCGTTTGAACAGTGTCCCTCTTATCCTGAGTTAGAAGCACTGAACTTGAGCTTCACTACCACTAGAGTTCATCAGTAGCGGATATCCCTGTCCGTGCTGGAGCTTGAACTCCGTACATCTAACATGCAACTCCAACTGTACATATTCGACGCCCCTTATCTACCATATCTGAGCAAGCAAAAGGGGTCAATAAGTAAGATCCGTTATTGAATAAAACATCAACCGAAGAACTACTTCCTAATTCATTATCTTACTCCGGTGGTTGCAGGCGATACCTGGAATAGTGACGTCCAACTTTGGATGGATCTCGGAAAACAAGTGCAATTAACGCATGGTTGACTGAACTGCCCACATGGAGGCGAAATTCGAAAACAATACTTCAACAACTCACTCGTTGGATTCGATGCTCGTTACCGCAGCCAAATGGTTCTTTGGGACGTATCCCCTGTGCCCTGTGCTACTGCATTCAACATACCACCAGTCACAATGCGACTGGTCAAGAACCCGGAATGTCTGTCCCTTAACCATGCTCAAATCGTCATCCACGCGTTTCATGTAATCATGTAATGCCACAAAATATCCATCAGTTGGGTTGAGTATTGGCGAGGTTTGGGCGGTAGAAGTGTTCGTAGGTAAGTGGATCGCGTTCGAACTCATTGGGTCGGTTTGAATACGAGCTACGGACTGGGCTGATTGTGGCACATTACAGGGAGTACAGGAAGCCTCTAAAAAGCTGTTCCAAACGTCCCCAGAGCGGTCAGAGAGGCATCTATTGCTAACCGATCCGGCGACCTGGGACCTAAAGTTTTGTATGCTGGAATCGTGTATGGTGCTCGCAGCCAACGTACTGGGCTCACACGGAGGCACGTGCCCACTGGATGAAGTTCGTTCAAACGGCAGCTGATGAACGGCGGCTTGCGCAGGTGCAGTGGTGTCACTCTGATCAAAAAAGTACACACGAAAAGGTTAACATAGCATAAAACAGAATAGCAGTGCTAATAGAACCGAGTATAGAAAACAAATATTCCTCGTAGGGCATCCACTTAATTGCGGTACATTAACGATAACGTACGGCTGAGGTGAAACATGCTGCTGTTACGAGACTAAACAGTGACATTGCGCGGTTCATATGTCTTATTAAAAATGACCGTTGATGCCATCCTGAATAGACAAGGAGATAAAAAATACTAAAGAAAGATAATTCTTTTTACGATCGTCTCAGTGATGTCCTCAGACCTTAAGATGTATGAGCTCCGTTTTACAGGATATTTCTGTGAATCGTGCCTCGAATTTCCTAAATAAAGCAAAGATTAGTCGAGGGGCCTATGAAGTTACCATTTTAGAGCGACATAGGACATTCACTATCACCTCTGTATGATGTGACTTTTCTTCTGGCTTCACGTCAGGTCGCTAGCCTGAAAATTGGACTCGTACTCTAATGATGTATTGTGCCTAACAGAAACGTGAATAGAAAACCCCAGTACGGTTGTCATACTGACTATTCTGTCGGTCTCCATTTGCTTCTGGCTGTGCGCCGCTGGTAATCTAGAGCTGGATGAGTCGAAATGGGTGTATTTTCCGGCCTCTATGAGCGGAAAGACACCTGAACATCCGTTATTAGTCGTCGCCATGCGGTTCATTCGGCAAAGCCTGTAAAACATTCTACAATCGGTGCACATTCACACTACCCGCTGAAGGTCCAACTGAAGGTCTAGCTCTGGTATCCTCGGGGGCAGTTTATAGGACACCGAGCAATTTAACAAATAGGACAAAAGCTCAGATAGGGCTTTGATTGCTGGGACTACGAAAGCGTAATTAGGTAGACTTAATACCGTTGAAGCTATATTGGGGGGTCGTTGTACACTGGGATTGAGACGCATGATAAACGGTGGATGCCATGTGTAACTGCGCTATTCTGGGCACCACTAAGTTTTTTTAAAAAATAGTGCCAACTGGAAGCATGGTGCATCCCATAAACGAGCCAGTCTCAGGGGCGAATCGACTGCGTCACCAGACATCGATGGTCCAAAACAATTGTAGCTCGCCCTGAAACATCTACGTAGACTGTGTTCATACACTTGTCCGTCGCTGCTTTTCTTTTGGCCGTCAAAAAGAGGCTGGACATTACCGAAGTGTGGTGGTTTGCGTACCTCGGCGATCCATTGAGTTATACTGGGGGGGTGTCCGTGCGACACTTGATGAGCCTCTCAATGGTTAGAGGTCTGAGGAACACAGTCTCCTGGTACTCCAGGTTGGGGGTTGGAACATGCACGGCAACGTGTTCCGTAAAAATGATAATGTACTTGCCCCGTAAAAATGGTAATGTACTTGCATTCCTGGCCAAACACAGCTGCCTTGCGATCAGGCTTTTGAGCCAGAGGGGTAGGTTGATGGCCCTAATTGTCTCCCTGTCTAGATGTGGGCGCAGTATCCCAGCCAACATACAACCATGAACTGCATATATACATGTATACAACACATACATACGTAATATACGAACAAGTATATAAATATTCACATGCCGCACCGGCTGTAGTGTGGTGCCATCAGCCGGGTCGCCTTACTCGTTGCATACAGCAGGGCGGGTAAGCGAAAACAGACTACTACTGATACTTCCTTTCTCTTTCCATACGTCTTCTTCCACCACTCTCTACCCCATTACTACCCCTATCATTGTAGGCCCAACACTTATGACTGATGACTCCGTCCATCCTATAATGGTTTCGCAAACATTTACGTCATCCGGCGCCGACATCTCCAGGCAGCTTGAAATTAATCTTCAAGCTCCGATGCCCCGTCTGTCAAGCCGCCTCCAACGTACGCACTCTAAAGCAAGCAGGTAAACAAGCTGCTCTTGCTCTCCCACTGGACTCGCTTGGCATTGATGTGTGCTGTGTATCAGGAACAAGAATTCAAGATGCAAGCACAGCGGTTGAGCTAACCGCTCCATGACTCTCCACTCGCTTCCAGCTACGCAGCTCTGGTGATCCGGAACCTGCTGCGGCGGGATGTTCAGGGGTTGCTATCGTCCTAAACCATCGGGTAGAAGGATCTTTGCTTGACTGGATACCCTCTGAACGTCGCCTCTGTGCGGTTCGTCTGCCAAAGTCTGTGAAGTATTCTCACAAAGGGAAAGTTGATCGACGTCTGTTTGCCGTGTCTGCTTACGCCCCCAACTGACTGTACCTCTAACATCATCAAAGACAGGTTTTATGACGCCATCAGTAACCTGTCGCGGTAAGCTAAAGGCTCAGATATCATTGTGGTTGTTGGAGATCTGCATACACAAGTGGGCAGGCTTAGCGTACCTGGGACTCCATTAGATGGATTAGACTCGGTACGTTCGGAAAATGGTGAACGACTGCCTCAGGTGTGTGCTGACCGCGGGCTGTCTTTATGCAGCACTAACTTCCGAAATAGTCAAGTTCGTCACACCACAAGGTGTCCTTCAAAGGTATACCGGTCACGAACTCAAATCGATCACATTGCCAACAGTTACCGATGGCGCGGATCAATAACTGACTGCCGGTCGTTTTGGGACACATTCGTGGATTTCGACCACACTCGTCGGGAGTCACTTCTCCCTACGTTTTTCCTGGGCCGCATAAGATGCGCACAAATTGCTTGGCAACTGAAAGACTCGAAGATCCGGATGTTATACGAATTTACCACAATCGTCTTCAAGAGTCTTTTCCAAATGCTCCATCATCAGATGTGAACTCATCCTGAACTCACCTCGTTGCATAGTGCTGAGAATTTTCTTTGTGGCACGGCGCTAACATGCTCACTCAAGCACTGGATATCAGACCGAACGGTGGCACTGCTTAGATCTTGAAGAAATATCCCAGCCGAACCTGAACATAACTTGGTGCGACGAGTTATCAGACGATAAGTGAAAGTGAGCGTGCCAGTCGAAATTGAAGTGTGGTGCGCACAGATAACAAAAGAAATGGAAGAGGCCTGGGAAGCCGGCAACGTCCGAAAATTATTTCAGTTAATCCGTGCGACCGGTTCCCGGGAACCCCCTGTGAGATAAACCAACAAGGATAGGAAAGGAGTGACAACCTTGAATAAAGAGCCCCTCGACCGATGGACCGATTACTTCGAACAACAATTGTCATGGCCACCAGATGCCACTCTTTGGGAGCCCACAGTTAACGTAGAACCCTGAGCGGTGAAGGTGGAGCTACTTACGGTCTCAGAGGTCTACAGTTGCATATGTTCCCTCAAACGCTGCCGAACTTCTGGTCCGGATGACTTTCCACCCTCATAGTTCAAAGATGGGAGTGAAGTCCTCAGTCACGGCTTGTTTGATCTGTTGGATTGCGTTTGGGGAAGGGAGGCTGTCCCAGACAACTGGCAAAAGTCGGTGATGGTGCCCATTTTATAAAAAGGTTGCAACGAGATTGGTGGCGTCACTTGTGCACCGACACCCTATTGTGGTTCATGAAACACGGACTCGAGAGCAGCAACCGGGGACCCTGGCCTGGTAGGGGATATGTTGACCTAACATTCACACTCGATCAGGTTCTTGGACAACGCCAGACGTAAAAACGACCCACAATTTCAGTATTTCTTGATTCGACTCCATTGATTGGTCTGTTTTCCTTGACAAGATTGCCTATCAAGGAACGCCCCGGAAGTTGGTGAACATAATACGTTCTTTGTATTCTCATATCGCCGGACATGGAAAGCTCTCTACAAGCTTCCGCACACAAGGCGGTGACCGTCAGGGGTGCCCACTCTCTCCACTCCTACTGAATTTCGTGATGGATGGAATAATGAATCGAACGACTGATGGTTTTCAAGACGCCGGAATCGAATAGCCCCTGACAAAATCGTTCTTGACCTGGAGTATACAGACGACATCGTTCTCGTATTCGAAGAGAAGGCGAAGGTGTTTTTGGATGAACTAACCAAAGGCATCTCGTCCTTTGGTATACACTTTGGACCCACAAAGCGTAAGGTCATGTTCTTGAACACGAAACTTAAAATGAGACGCTCGAAGTTGCGGAGTGTTTTGCATATTGTATTGGTTCTATTAGTTCTGACTGTAGTGTGACAGATGAGGTCAATGCATGACTCTACAAAGCCCGGATCGCGATTACTAATTTGAGACCTCTTTGGCGTCAAAGCGATATATCCCTGAATCACAAGTGACGTGCGTATCAGGCTATAGTCCGGGCTGTTTTGCTGTATGGTTGTGAGACAGTCTATTCGAGCAGCGGAAATGAGACGTCTTCAGGTGTTTAACAATCGTTGTCTCAGGACCACAGCTCGAGTGGGTTGCTGTCGGTGAGTCCGCAACGAGGCAATTAGAAAGCGAGTTTTCGGTTGTTCAGTAGGGACTTCCATTGGAAAGACTGCGTCGGTTAGGCCTGTGGCACGACCCAACCAGGCGCACTCAAGCACTGGATATCAGACCGAACGGTGGCACTACTTAAATCTCGAAGAAATATCCCAGCCGGTCCCGAACATAACCCGGTGCGAAGAGCTATCAGACGCTAAGTGAAAGTGAGCTTGCGATCCGACCATGAAGTGTGGTGGACACAGAAAACCAAAGAAATGGAAAAGGCCCAGAAAGCCGGTAATGCCCGGAGAGTATTTCAGTTGATCCGTGCGACCGGTCCCCGGAAACTACCTGAGTGAAACCATCAAACATCAGAATGGAACGACCATCTCGAACAAAGAAGAACGCCTCGACCGGTGGGCTGAATACTTCGAACAACAAATGTCTCGGCCACCAGCCGACACTCATCTAGGGCCCACAGGTGAAGTAGAACCCCGCACAGTGAACGTGGAACCACCTACGACTGCATATGTTCTCTCAAGCGCCACCGAGCTCCCGGTCCGGATGACCTTCTACCCGTACTGTTCAAAAACGGCGGTGAAGCCCTCAGTCAGCGCTTGTCTGATCTGTATGCATGCATTTGGAAAAAGGAGTCTGTCCCAGACAACTGGGGAGAATCGGTGACAGTGCCCGTTTTCAAAAAAGGGGGCGCGTAGTGAGTGTGGTAACCACAGAGTAATCAGCTTGACCCCGGTTGTAACGAGACTGTTGGCGTCAATTGTGCTTCGTCGCCTTACGGTAGCTCGTGAGACACTGACTCGAGAGCAGCAAGCGGGATTCCGGCCTGGTAGGGGTTGTGTTGACCAAACCTTCACACTGCGTCAGGTGCTAGAACAACGCCATACGTATAAGCGATCCACGATCCTAGTATTCCTGGATTTCCGAGACGCATTCGACTCGGTTGATCGGTCTGTTCTTCTTGAGACGCTTGCCCACCAAGGAATGCCCCGGAAGTTCGTAAGCATAATACGTTCTTCGTATTTTCAGACTTCCGTACGTGTGAGAGTGTACGGAGAGCTCTCCAAAAGCTTCCGTACACAAAGCGGTGTCCGTCAGGGATGCCCACTCTCTCCATTCCTTTTTAACTTTGTGACCGATGAAATGATGAGACGAACGCTGGAGGGTCTCCAAAACCCTGGTGTCCAAATAGCCTGTGAAGAAAACCTTGTCGATCTGGAAAATGCAGACGATATCGTTCTCATGTTCGAAGAGGCGGAGAAGGCACAAGTATTCTTGGATGAACTGACCAAAGTCATCCCGTCCTTTGGTATGCACTTTGCAACAACAAAGTGTAAGGTCATGGTTGTGGACGTGCAGTCACTGAACACGCCACTTACAATCCAGGGAGAGGTATTGGAAGTTGTGGAGCGTTTTACGTATCTTGGAAGTTGTATTAGTTCTGATTGTAGTGTGACAGATGAGGTGAATGCAAGGCTCGGGCCGCGTTTGCTAACTTGAGACACCTATGGCGTCAGAATGGTTTATCCCTGAATCTGAAGGGACGTGTACATCAAGCTACAGTGCGGGTTGTTTTGTTGTATGGATGTGAGACTTGGCCTATTCGAGCAGCGGAACTGAGACGTCTTCAGGTGTTCGACAATCGTTGTCTCAGAACCATAGCTCGTGTGGGTTGGTGTCGCCAAATCCGTAACGAGGCAGTTTGAAAGCGCGTTTTTGGTTGTGTAACGGGTACTTCCATTGAAGAATGTGTCCAGCACCAGAAGCTGCGTTGGTTGGGACATGTTTTACGCATGCCGAACCATCGTTTGCCGAAGAGAGTACTGTTTTCCATGCCCAATTCGGAGTGGCGTAAACAGAGAGTTGGCCAACCCTTGACTTGGCAGAGGAGTATGAAGGAGCTCACGAAGCGCTTGGGTGCTGTCGGTGCTACTCGCCTTCCAGGATGGGGACCGCGTGATCCTCACTGTGCCTGGTTGGAGATACTACAAGATATGGCTGCCAACCGATGTCAGTGGCGTTCTTGTCGTCAGTTTCTATCCAGATTGCCTGAGCGAATGTCTGGAAGTGTAGACACCTCTGAATGAGTGTGTTAAGCTAGCACTAAGTCCCTCCCCCATCCACCTTTACTTCTTTCGTCACAATAAGGCTTTCAAATAAGTTATGGTTGTACGGTAGTGAAGCATCGGTGTTGAACACTGTCATGCTGTCGATGCTGATGACATACCGAACCATCGTTTTCCGAAGAGAGTTTTGTTTTCCATGCACAATTTAGAGAGGCGGAAGCAGAGAGGTGGCCAGCCCTTGAGCTGGCAGAGGGGTGTGGAAGAGATTGTGGAAGGTGTGAGTGCTCTCGGTGCTAGTCAGCTTTCAGGGTGAGGATCGCGAGATTCCTAGTGCGCCTGATTGGAGTGATGCAAGGATATGGCTGTAACCCGATGTCAATGGCGTTCTTGTTGTCAGTCTGTATTCAGATTGCTTGAATGAGTGTCTGGAGGTCTAGGCACCTCGGAATGATTGCTGTGAGCTAGCACTAAGTTCCTTCTATGTCGACCTTTATTCTCTTCCTCGCAATAAGGCTTTCAAATAAATAATGGTTGTACGGTAGCAAGCATCGCCGTTGAACAATGATGTCATGCTGTCGATGACGATGACGACCAAAAGATCCGTACTTCGAATCCAAACCCCGCATGTCGACTGATCCTGTCTAGCCTTGGACTCTCATACTTCCTTCGAGTAGCATGACAGTTAGGTACCGAAAGGGAGCCGGAGCTGAACGACTGGTTATTATTACTGTGCCAGTGGGAGATCATTTTTTCCGTCAAAGGAAAACATGTACTACGATAGTGATATGCGTACCGCTTCACTGGTCAGAAACGCGGCCTCCGTGTGCATAAAATGTACGAAAACTCTCGGGGTTTGACTACCGGTGTCCCCGAAGCGCTGACAGTCTGGTAAGAATACCGGACTATGAGATACGCCAGACAGCGTTCGGTAGAAGAAACTCTCCCGCAATGGACGAGCTACTCCATCTCTACAGATCAAGCTGGTCTGGACATGTAATTCGCCTTCCGAAAATACTGGATCCTACCGATGTGTGATAGTTTTTCACTCACATAACCCGATGAGCGCAACCGGGAGGTCGTTGTTAGACAGTGGTAATCATAGCAGGCTGACCAGTTAAAGATATGAGAAACAGTCTTCCGTTTCTCCAGGTTTGGGGCTTGATCTTTAAAACATTTGATGCATTGGTATTACCCATGAAATATTACTGCCTTCCAGTCGGGCTCTTGAGCCAAGCCCTTGGGTTTTGAAAATCCCGTACTACCGAATTTCGCACATTAATCTCGTGTCACGTCGGTTAGTGTGTGGTGCCACCAGCCGATTACAGTAGGGTGGACAAACGAAAACAGGACAGAGCTTACGCCTTAATTTTCACATGCCTGTTCTCCCCTACACCCACTCACAAAGTAATGCTCTTGTCCGCCCATCCGCTGAGAAGGAAGACACCATCCCTCCCACACCAGGCTTCATCTCGACAACCTCGGATACCTCGAAATCAGATTTCACGCACGGACGATAGGTGCAGCTGGCTGGTTTAAACGTTTGCACCCTGAAACAAGCAGGACAACAGGTTACTCTAGCTAGCACACTCGGGTCGCTTGAAATCGCTATGTGCCATGTATCAGGAACGAGAATTCAAGATCCAAGCAGAATGGTTAAGCTAATATCTCCAATCGTCATCTCACTTCCGGTTGCGCAACCCTGGCGATCTTCAGGCCGCAACGATTGGTTGTGCAGGGTCGGCACTTGCTTGACTAGGTTGTCACCTCTCAGCAACTCGCGTAGCATTTCGAGAAAGGGCCTCATAGACGGGCAGTTAACCTTTGTTGGCTTACGTTTCCACTGATTGTATTTCGGACACCATCAAGGCCAACTTCCATGATGATGGCTGAAAGCTCAGATATCGTTGTGGTTACCGCGGATTTCGATGCGCGATTGGGAAGACAGTACCGCGACTTGGATGACGGCGAACAAGGACTTTAACTATGTACTCAGCGTAAACTGTTTTCATGTTCGAAATTCCTCATTACCGAAATCGGCTGCCTACATCGTGCCTTCACAGCCTTCCAGCTACGAACCCAAACTGGTCACATCGTTATCCATCGCCGATGGCGTTGTAAAATATGACTACTCGTTAACATTGACGTCCTTACTTTCAGGTCCTATCCAAATGCTCCTAATGGGCGTCTAAAGATGTAGACATACGGAAATGATCGTGATAATCTACCACTAGGCTCCGTCCCCATCCAATTTCAGTCTTTCATTCGCAGCCAGTATTTCGAGATTAGGTTTGTATGTCATGAGGCAATAGTTAAAAGCTAATGTTGTGCTGTCACTGATGACGATGAATTCGAATACTAGAGCAGTCTAACCCGAGGAAACCACTTCGTTCCGGTCTGAGATGAGCGAAAAGGACCAGGAGGTGGACAGTCTATGACGTAGGAACCAAGCATGAAAGCATTAACCACCAAATAAAGTCGGGTCAACAAATGAACAGTGGGTTCCGAGACCCAACTCACAAACAGTTAACGATACTGGCACGCATGTAGTCCGCTGTTACCACATCTAAGTTAGATGCGAAACTCTCCAGTTTTCAATCTCCACAGAAATCTCCAGTAGCAACTAAGTGATAATGCCATCGACTAACATGCCTGGTTTAGGATAACTCAGTGCTTAAAAACCCAAATTTACTGACTGAAAAGTCCAAGGTTTGGAACCTAACTATCACATATCGACTACTCTTGTCACGGATCGGGTGACCTGGCGGTATCACAGCTCTCGAGCTTCCTTCGGGTGGCAGGGACACTGGGCATCGAAAGGCTGCTACTACTACACTACGGTGTATAACTACACAGTCCTAAATGAGGTTATTGTTCGAGTACAATTTCACAGGAGGAAACAAAGAGAAGTTCTTTGTGAGGTTGTGGTTATAGCAACAGCCCTTGAATAAATTCCCTTACCCACACTGTTATCCGCGATGGAATCGTCGTTGAGGCACAGCATTACAAGTGTGCCAGAGGAATCAACAGAACTGTATTTTAATCTTTTCGCGTGTTACTCTGACCGGAAGTGAATTCCATGCGTGAGTTACCCCTGAAAAGTCGCTACGCAATTCGTGTTTATATATGACGAGAAAACGAAACCTAAGCTGGCGCATACCTTTTTCTCATGTAACTAAACACAGCTCTCTATTCATGGCATAGGAAGAAAATTTCATCTCTCGTACGGTGCTAATTAGAACAGAAACACTACAGGAGCTCACTGTGGGTACGGCTATCCAACTGCACTGCTCGCCGCTAGTAGAGCCAGAGTTTCCCATGACATCGTTTGAAAACGGCGAGGGCCGGAGAGCAGAGGAGTTCGAAACACCTCCAACCGGGTGCGACCTTGGGATTGGCTCCTTAAGTTCAGCCATCAAATCTCAGCGGGAAGCAGTGGGCGGACAATAAACTTCCCTTGTTATCCCGCTCGAAATTCCGGGGGCCATCCTCTACCGCGATATTTGCCGTATTCTGCGATAAATTTGAAAGCCACCGGTGCCCACTGTGCGAGGGTTCCCGTTCAACGTTCTTTCGAATATCTCCAAATGCAGGAGCAAAATTCCGTCGACGGCACAGGATAGAAAGATTTGGAAGAGTCTACCTATGTTTATAAACCTTTCGCTGGTGTCCTCACATTGCGTTTTCATCAGCAATCGAAAAATGGTAATGCGATGGCGCTCACAGCTCTCTGCTCCGTGGTTCTCCGTGGGTGTATTGGATCCGTTCCGAGTCAGTACACCAGAGAAAGTACTTTCTACCGCCTAATCATAATTTACGTTCCGTGCTTCGAAACTTCATTTCTGCTTCGAGCTATCCTTTACAGAACTGCTTCGGCATCGTTTCTTCGTTTTTTACTGCCATGAAACCAAACTTCTGGTCTATCTGTTTAAGACACAACCGGCAAGAACTTTGTGTTGGCAGTTGATTCATTTAAATGTTCTCCCTGATCCTAAAGAATTCTACACGGTCGCTTTACCAATTCGCTAAACCCAAGTGGTTTGGTTAATGGGTTTGAGCAATGCAGTGAAACACAGACACACTTGGACGTGGGCGTTTCTTATTCTCTAGTCATTATCGGGGCCAGTAGCCGGGGAAAACGGGTTTTATGGTAACATATGGTGACCAAAATTTGTCGCAATATTACAGATAAGATAAACAGAGCACCAAAGACGAATATATCCTGGCGTATCAGCATCAACTGTCGTGGCAGAATTTGTCATATCAAGCCACTTCTGAAGCCCTGAGGGTAAGTTTAATCGATTTTTGCGACACCCTCGCAAACCCGTGGATTTCGATGACGAACGAAGATATTCACCGGGGAGGTAGAGATCACCTTAAGGACCCTGGAGTTCAGTTGTTTGGTTTCAGAGAAACACCAAATATACATCCAGTAACAAATGCGATATTTTGAAAGGAGTATTTTTCACCCAAAGTGGCACGCGCACTCCCATACTGGCAATCAGGGGACTGCTGGCATCGCCGGCGCAGTTAAATATAATATAGCGCGAGCAATACGTCTTGACCCCAGTCGGTTGCTTTCCTTTGAATTAGGATGCTAATAGCTGTCGATTTTGGTTGAGAACTTGTAAGCCTGCTGTATCTTATGTATGTATGTGCAGGGTGCTGTCATGACGGTAAGCCCCAAGTTGATACTCCTCTTCACTAGGCTGTCACACCCGCTTGATTCAAATCTTTAAGCACGTGTTCCGACCAAACGTCGTGGATGGTCGTTTTGTTTCGAGGTCTTTGCGGATGATTTCTAACCGTTGAATGCGTTGTAAAACGCAGAGTTTGTGTCTACATAGAATTCGACGCCTCTCTGCCTATATTATGGATAGGTGAAAGGATTCTTCTTCTGACCAAGCCACCGCGTGTGGCTGAAGATGTCTGCGAAATAATGTATAACTAGTTCATATCATGTGTAAGATGCGGACGGTTATGGATCTCACAGGACGATTGCGACTATTGGATTATACGCAGTTCGCAGCCAGTAGTCAATAGGAGCAGACGGACGTGGGGCAGCAGATGATATATTGAGGACTGACAGGAACTGGTTCTACGGTAAAACGGATTAGTAAGCATCATGAATTAAGCAGACGTAAAATCAACAATGACGCAATCATCAGGAGCGGGAAGTAGTCACTGACGCAGCACGGATTTCCATAGGGGCAACAGCAAGTAAGTACCAAACGATATACAGACATATATATAAAGGCAGTCTGACAGTGTGAATTGACCGTAACGGCGCAGGAGCCAGTACGTTCGGAATGTGAGGGATTGTCTTTCGGTCGGCGTCGACGCAGCAGTTCGTGCCGCGTGACAGGTCAGATTGCGCGGTTTCGCCCGTTTAAAACAAAGCTCAGCAAGGGCTATCTGCCAGGTGCGATACATGGGTAATACAAAATAATTAGCCGCGTTGGGTGTCAGGTTAGTGTAGTCGGTGACGCGTTCGCCTGCTGTCCGCAGACTCTGGGTTCGATACCCGGTCGGCGCGCTTTTCGGTCAGAGTGGACGCTCGTGAATAGGTGCAATCCAGACGAACTTGCAAGCAATGACAGACGGGCAACAAATATTGACATCACCTAATAAGGGATAAGCAGAGCTTAAGTAGGAACAAAGCGGGGGAAAACGAGCAGCAAGAAAACGAAACGGTGTCATAATAAACAGGTGTAAGTCATGTTACTGATGAGTAGTCAGAAAACAGGGGAAGTTACCCTTGTTCGCCGTTGATTCACAGGGGTATCAACAACTACCATATGGAACAATTTAGGTGACACATGATTGAGGCCACAAAGAAGCAAGATTTTCGGCATCGCCCTTCAGACTTTGTATAAAATTGTAATAAGTTAGTTACTACCTATTCGGAACTACTCCCATCGGTCTTTGCAGCTTGTGACAGTTTCGCGTTGAATAGGATTAGGGAAATGAGCCACCTGCAGACTGATCAGCTTCTCTGTCTTTACGATGACTTCCTTTATGTATGGAGAACACCCAGTCCTATTCGTGCTGAAGACATTGTTGCCATGCCCTTGTTTGACTAACAGAGGCCCGAAGCAGTCCACTGCGGTGGACGCGAATGGTTTAAGAGTGCGGTTGGTTCGTTCATATGGTATGAAGGGCACCAGTTGGTAGCACAGTAGCCGCAACCATCGACGGCAGCGACAACTGGACGAAAAGACGCATCTGATGGCGGTTCACCCTCGCAAAACCCAGCATCTGTTATGCACAGCTGCCGGTACTTCTCCAAAGCCCACGTGGTCATAGCTCTCTTGGTAATGTGGTAATGTTTAATTATAAGTGCGGTGAAGTGTCTCTTTGGTAGTAGACCCGGGCCGATGAATCCCATAATGTAGTGTGGAGAGGCTGTAGGTGACAGTATTCTTTGTTTCGTGGGAGTTTCGAGCCGGATATCTACTTCAAACAGGAATTCGTCAGTCAGTATGCCCCACTGAACCCCAAGCGTCCGACACCACGAAGGCGTTTGCAGGTTTACACTGTCTGCACGATCCTCGAAAGCGACTTTAACCAAACGGTTAGTTTCGTTCGTCGACCATTCCGTCAGTCGAAATCCGCGGGCTTCCAGGGCTGCCTTCAACTTGAAGGCGATGGCCGCTAGACGTCCTGAAGAAGGTGCACTTAGCGGCGAATCGTCCACATGAAATGCCCGTTCGGCTGCTGATGACTTGGCGTGGCTCGACGTACTAGCATGGCTCTTGATGGTATGCCTCAGGGCAAAACTGGCGCAGCAGGGAAACGAAGTTGCGCCAAAGGGATATACAGTCATATGGTACGTCTTCGGGGGCTGTTCAATATGGACGTGCTTCAACCATAAGAATCGTAACACCTCTCTGATTGATTCGGGTATCTTCACTTGACGAAACAATGACGCAATGCCTGTCGTAACCACCTGCCTATGTTGGCGGAAACGAAGAGAGATTAGGAGATAATGCTTGTTCATCAGCCTGTGACGACGAGCACTCGTATCATGGTGGGTTTCTGAACTCGATGTCGGTCGTGGCTTCTAACGTTGAATCCAGACGGTCTTCCACATGGCGGCTGAGCTGGTTGATTCGAGCCAACCTCTCGTTCGTATCATTTACCGGCCCAAAAAGGACCCAGCCGAGTGGTGTTGGAGTGGCGTAAGGCTCGTGTGGCCTGTCCGTTCGGCTTTCCAGCGCCCACTGTGCCATCGGTACGTCCATCCCAATCAATAGGGATATTGTTTGGCTTCCGGCATTCTCGAATGGGATTCCTTTCAAGTGATCCCATTTAGACCACTGCTCTCTAGCTGGTAAGGTTTGAGTAATCGACGGGAGCTGTAGAACGGTCCATGCCTTGAGAGATTGCGGCGTCTTGGCCGGCGGCGATGTATCTATATCAAGACTGACCCGAGTGGGCGATACTTAATTCTGACCGTTGAGAGTGGAAACGCTTATGTTTGCGGGCAATCCCGATAGCCCGAGATTTAAGGCGACATCCTCTTTCAGCATTGTGCAGTCCGAACCGCTGTCAAGAAGTGCATTGACTCTATAAACTCCACGGGGACCGCGAAGAGTTACAGGCAGTACGCCGAGCGCCACGGTTGTCCGATTACACGATCCGCTGGCACAGTTGACGCTGAGGTCTGGACGGCGTTCTTCCTGGCATGTTGGCCCCACTGACTTAGCTGAAGGCTGAGTGGGCGGATGGAGCAATGGGTGATGTAGACCTTGGCAGCCATTAAGTCCGCAACATCGCCTCGAGCGGCACTGTTTCGCGTTATGCCTTGGCTTGAGGCAAAGCTCGCAAAGTGCAGCTGAGCGGATGAACGTTGCACGGGAATCAACGTCCAAGCGAATGAATTGCGAGCATTGATCGAGGTAGTGCATTTTACCACAGTGCACGCACGGACGGGACATCGTCGGGCTATGTTCTCCATTTCCAGGCTTATTAGCCGCGGACGTCGTCACAAGTGTGGATAGCCTTGGCGATGGTGCCGTCACAAAGCTACGGGGGCGTTCTGACTTGCTGGTGCTCGGCTGGGAAACATTCGGCAGATAAGACTCTCTAACTGATAATGCATCTGCTCTGTCTAGAACATAATCGGTCAAATCGACGAAACTGGGCTCTCGGTTCTTCCTAAGGATTTCCGAGGCCCGGTCGAACCACTGTGACTGGATAGCAGTCGGAAGGCGGCTAATAATAGCGCCTATGGTTGTTCTAGTATTAAGCTCTGATGAGTAGTTCAGTTGGGATAGTACCAACCAACAAGCCTTCATTGTGTCGGCCAGCTTGAGTAGTGAGCTGGCGTCGTTCGGTCTGATGGGCGGCCCGGTTGTGACTGACGCAATATACTGTCTTGCGATCGTCGAGGGGTTGCCGAACCTGCGAGCCA